AGGGATTCAACACAATGCTTTTAGGAAAGGAGTTTCAGGATTTCTACCCAATGACAATGAAGGAATGGCAATGTAGTTCCACGTCAGGATGGCATGTGGTTTGGAGGTGAACTTGCAGGTTGTGGTGTTCCCTGGCACCAGCTGCCCTTACCCTTCTAAATGGTAAAGGTAATGGGTTTAGATGATGTTGGAAAAGCCTTTGTGAGTTACTGTCGATTTGCTGATAATACAAATGTACTGATCATACAAATATAGATATGAAAGCAAATTGTGAAGGTGATTCGAAGAGTTTGCAGAGTGATGTAGACAGGCAAAATGCATGGACAGAATTCGGCAGATGGAGGAAAGTGTGGGAAAATGTGCAGTTCTCTGCTTTGTCATGAAGTAAGGAAAAACAGAATATTTAAATTTAAATAAGTGGAGAGAGACTGTAAAATGCTAGGGTGCAGAAGGTCCTGGCTGTCCTTGTCCATAAATCATAAATTGTTGGTATGGAGATACAGCAAGTATTTGGAAAGGCAAATCGAATGTTGGCCTTTATTGTATGGTGAATGCAATGTAAAAGTACAGAAGTCTTGCTGTAATAGTACTGGGAAATTGCACTACTGGGTATTGATGAGATTGCACTTGGAGTATTTCTGTACTGTTTAGGCCCCCTTTGTTAATAAGGGACATACTTGCATTACAAGCATTTTGAAAGGATTAATAAGCCTGGCTGCTGAGATGAGGCGTTTGCTTTATAAGGAAAGGTTGGGCAAGGTGGGCCTCAGCACGTGGCATGTAGAAGAACGAGAAGTTATCTAACTCAAATACATAAGATTGTGAGGAAATTTGACAGGGTGTAAGTCTGGATATTTCTCCTCATGGGAACATCTAGAGCCAGGGCAAAAATTTAAAATAAAGGATCTCCCATTTAAGGTGTTGTTGAGAAGAAATTTGCCTCTGAAGAGGGTCAATAGTGTTTAAAATCTTCTTTTCCAGACAGCAATGGAGACTGGATCATTGACTGTATTAAAGTTAAAGCAAGACCAATTTTTGATTGACAAACGAGTCAATTGAAATTGTTGTGAAAAAATGTAAGAACAACAGGGTTGTTGTGGTAGGTAGTTTTAACTTTCCCTATATTGACTGTGACTGGCTTAGTGCCAGGGGCTTGGATAGAGGGAAATTTGTTAGGTTTGTCAAGGACAGTTTTTTTTGAAACAGTAGGTAACTAATCCAACATGGAAGGAATCATACTAGACCTGGGATTGGGAAACAAGCCTGGCCAGGTGATTGAAGTTTCGGTGGGGTGAACATTTTAGGATCCGTGACCATAATTCTATAAGGTTTAAGTTATTTATGGATCAGGACAAGAGTAGTCTTTGGGTGAAAGTATTAAATAGGTAGAAGGCTAACCACGAAAATATTAGGCATGAACTGGGGAATGTAGCTTAAGGGATGCTGTTAGAGAGTAAATACACATTTGGCGTGTGGGAATCTGTTAAAGGCCAGTAGATTAGAGTTCAGGACCAGCATTTCCTGTGAAAATGAAGGATAAGGATGGCAAGATTCAGGAACTTTGGGTGACAAGAGAAATTGAGAGCTTAGTCAGAAAGAAACAGGACGCATATGTAAGGATAAGAAAGAAAACTGAAGACAGACAGAGCTCTCAAATAATACAAAGAAAGCAGGAAAGAACTCGAACAAGGAATTAGGAGGGCTAAAATCAGCTGTGAAATGTCTGGCAAATATGATTAAGGAAAATCTCAAGGTGTTTTATACATGTATAAGGAGGAAGTGGGTAGTTAGGGGAAGTGTAGGTCCATTTAAGGACAAAGGAGAGAATTTATATATTGAGCCAGAGAAAGTGCGTGAGATCTTTCATGAATACTTTGCATCGGTATTCACAAGGGAGAAGGACTTGGTGAATGGTGAGTCCTGGAAGGGTATGCTGATATTCTAGGACATGTCCTTATAAAAAAAGGAGGTTGTGTTAGCTGTTTTGAAAGCATTAAGGTCGACAAGTCCCCAGGACCTGATAGGACTATTCCAGAATGCTGAGGGAGTCAGATGAGTAATTGTTGGAACCTTGTACGAAAACTATCTTTCTTCTTTAGTCAGAGGACTGGAGAATAGCCAACGTTGGCCGTTTGTTTAAGAAGGGCAACGGGGATAATCTGGGAAATTACAGGCTGGTGAACCTCACGCCAGTGGTAGGGAAATTACTGGAGAAGATTCTTAGGCTTAGGATTTACTCACATTTGGAATAATATCGGTTTATTAGCGATAAGCAGCATGGCTTTGTGTGGAGAAGGTTGTGTCCCACAAACTTGATTGAGGAAATGACAAAGTTGATTGATGAGGGCAGGGCCATGGATCTTGACTCTATGGACTTTAGCAATGCCTTTGACAAGACATCATGGTAGGCTGATACAAAAAGTGAAGTCACATAGGATCTGTGGTGAGCTGGTAAGATGGACACAATCTGGCTTAGTCATAGAAGACAGATAGTAGTGGTGGAAGGGTGCTTTTCAGATTGGAGATCTGTGACCAGTGGCATTCGGCAGAGGTCACTGCTGGGACCCCTGTTGTTGGCAATATATATATGACTTCAAGGAGAATTTAGATGGTTTGATTAAAAAGTTTTCAGATGACACAAAGATTGGGGGAAGCTGCAGATAGTGAGGTAGATTGCCAGCAGATATAGCAAGATATAGATAGGCCGGAGACCTTGGTGGAGAAATAGCAGATTGCGTTCAATCCAGACAAATGCAAGGTGATGCATTTTGGAAGATCTAATGCAGGAAGGAATTATACAGTAAATGGCATTACCCTTAATATCATCAACGTACAGAGGGATCTAGCCATACAGCTCCATGGTTCCCTGAAGGTGGCAACATGATGGATAAAGTGGTCAAGGAAACATATGGCATGCTTGCCTTCATTGTTCAGGGCATAGAGTATAAAAATTGGCAAGTCACATTGCAACTGTATAGAATTATAGTTAGGCCACATTTGGGATATTGTGTACAGTTCTGGTTGTCACACTATCAGAAGAATGTGGAGGGTTTGGACAGGGTATGGAAATGGTTTACAAGGATGTTGCCTGGTTCAGAGGGTATTAGCTATGAGGAGAGATTGGACAAACTTAATTTGTTTTCACTTGAATGTTGAAAGATGAATGACGACCTGATTGAAGTTAATAAAATTATGAGAGGTATATATAGAATGCATAGTCAGAATCTTTTCACTCGGGTAGAAAAGTCAATTACATGGGGACATAGGTTTAGGGTAAAGGGCAGTAAGGTTAAGGGAGTTGAAAGTGCTGTCACAGGTAGACAGGGTGGTGAAGAAAGCGTTTGATACACTTGCCTTCATCAATCAGGGCATTGATTATCGGAGTTGGGACGTCATGTTCTATCTGTATAAGACATTAGTGAGGCCACATTTGGAATAGTGCATACAATTTTGGTCACCTCGCTATAGGAAGGATGTTATTAAGCTGGAAAGGATGCAAAAAAGATTTACAAAGATGCTATCAGGACTAGAGGGTTTGAGTTATAAGCAGAGGCTGGATAGGCTTGGACTTGTTTCCTTGGAGAGTAGGAGGCTGAGGAGTCACCTTATAAAAGCTTATAAAATCATGAGGGGTGTAGATAAGGTACCTTGAGAGGTCTTTTCCCCAGGGTAGAGGAGTCCAAAACTAGAGGGTGTTGGTTTAAGGTGAGAGGGGAAAGATTTAAAAGGGCCCTGAGAGACAACTTTTTCATGCAGAGGGTGGTGCGAGAATGGAATGAGCTGCCAGAGGAAGTGGTAGAGGCGAGTACAATTGCAACGTTTAAAAGACATTTGGGTAGATACATATATGGGGAAAGGTTAAAGAGATATGGGCCAAATACAGGTAAATGGAACTAGTTCAGTTTAGAAGACCTGGTCAGCATGGATGAGTTGGGCTAAAGGATCTGTTTCCACGCTGTATGACTCAATGACTTTCTGTGAGAGGAACACTTTTTACACAGAGGGTGGTAAATACCTGGAATGCGCAGCCACAGGAGGTGTGGATGTGGATATGATAGCAACGATAAGAAGGACATCTTGACCGATATATGAATATACAGGGAATAGAGGGATACGGAGAGTGTCGCAGCAAAATGTTTTTACTTAAGAAAGGCATCATGTGTTGGCCTAGTCTTGGTGGATTGAAGGGCCTGTTCATGTGCTGTACTATGCTTTGTTTCTTTTTGTTCTTTGAGTCAAGTGTTATGGCTACAGACAGGGAAAAAGAGTTAAAACCAGTCAGATCAGCCAAGATTTTGTTGAAAAGCAGAGCAGGATTGCGATGCCAAATGGCCTACACAGTTCCAACTTACGATCTTACTGCCAATCAGACATTCTGTCCACAATATTTATGACACGTCAGGGAGGGAGTGGGCTAGCACTGTTCAAGTGTCCTTGGAATATTGAGATGCTGCTAATTGAAAGGCTGGTTTGCTGTCGAGCAAGCGAATTACCCACTGGTAGAATATCATAGTTGTGGACAATCCCCATCACTTCAGAAAGTTTGGTTGGGGTGAGGAGAGGGATCTGCACTCAGAGCATAGCAGCAGGAAGGGTAGCATCAAAGGATTATGGTTTGGTACACTAGTAGTTGCTGGTGTGGGGGAGGAGAGCACAGCAAAGAACACAGGGCAGAAGTGGGCTGATTCAGCATTGCAGGGGAACAGGTTGCAGTCTGACATTGAGATTTTGTAGCTGAATTGAAGGGAAGTGAAATTATTGCATAGCAAGACACATTTAACTTTCTCTTTGTATAAAGTGGCTGTGAATGAATGCACAGAACTGAAAAACAAGACCGAATCCCATGTATTTTCTTTGACTTCAACTACTGCCACAGCAATTTAAGTATAATACCTTAATCACTACACTATCAAGTAACTTAGTAAGAACAAATCTTGCTTATTTTTAAAACTTAATTATGACTTTTAATTACTGAAAATGTAACGTAACATTTCTCATACTTGTAAAGTGGTTATTGTTGAGGTACAGGTGCTCTAGTTGCCTTGAAACGTAGAAGGTTTCAGACAGTTGGTTGTGTCCTAGATTCAGTTCCAATAAATTCGAGAGATTGAACACACCGTATGGTACTTGTTTCAGCTTATTGTATGTCATCCTTAATGAGATGAGGTTTGGAGTTTTTCTGAAGTAATTTTCTGGAATAGATGATATAGAGTTATTTTCAACTGAAAGTTGCAGCAGAGAAGATGGAAGATCTGCTGGCATGGATTTAAGCTTGTTGCTGTGCAGGTTTAACTGTAAGAGACTCTTCATTTTTCCGAGGTAATTTCCCTTAACAGCGCCATCAGGAAGTTTGTTATTGCTCAGATCCAGAATTGTTACGTTAGTTAGTGTACGAAAATTGTCAGCAGGCAGTTTACTAATCTGGTTGAAACCCAAAGTAAGTCTTTGAAGAGTTTTAGGTAGTGGAACTGGAACTTCTTCAAGCTTGTTGTAATCCAAGTTAAGGCCAATCAGATTTTGGAGCTTTCCAAATGCACCTTTGGGTATCTTAGAAGATTTTAATTTATTGTGACTAAGATTAATTTCTTGAAGCAATGTTGCATTGATGAAGGCATTTTCTGGCACACTTTCAATTTCATTGATCTGAAGATACAGATACCGCACATGTGCTGGGATATTGGGCACATATTTGAGTTTTCGATTGTCACAGTACATAGCCAAAGGAAATGATGGTGTGCAACGGCATTCTTGAGCACACTCTCTGGGAAAGAATCTATATAGATCAGACTCTACAGGTGTACGAATACGTCGTTGTCGTGGAGGTGGAGCAAATGGATTATCATAGTTATCTTGACAATGAATGTTTACACTGAAGAAAAGTATTAATATTGGCAGCCCTGTGATGAAGGTCATTCTTGTGGTGATGGTTTTGTCTCTGATGAAATTAAAATGAATGTAAGAAAATAAACCGTAAATCACACAAGAACATTCAGTTGCTATAACAAAATGACCAGTAGCAATGATGTACCCATTAAGTGAAAAAATGGCTAAATTAATTCTTGAACAATTTTGAGGAACCTCCTTTGAAGATGTTTTATGACAAATGATGTAATATCTCTCACATGTCAAACACAAAACACACTTTGCTTTTACACAGAAAAGGGTAAATATTTAATACTTCTGCAGGATTACTCAAAATTAAAGGCTGAATAGTCTCCCCCTTATGTTGCTAAAACCCCTAAGTTTGGCTGTTGATGATTGTATTCAATTGTTTTCTTGATATTTTCAGGCAGTGGTTGGTCTTGCCCTTATTAGATTAATTCAATAAAGCTGTCTCAACCACTGACCACTGTCTCAAAAGTTTGTTACATTCTCAATTTAAGACAATGTCAAACATTGCCTCTGTTATCTGGGAGCTTCCTACTCAGCCTTCTCTGAGTGACCAATCACCAAACTGTCACAGAAGACAATTAAGAGTCTGGATTTGACCAATCAAAAGAAAAGGAAAATGATAATGACATGCTAGTTTAACTGACCAAGTAATTCATAATCACACAGCATCCCATGAAGTTAAAAAAAAGAGACATATAGGTAACTTCCATTTATAGGGAAAACAAGCAAGCTATGCAAGATCCATTATAGCACTACTGGCCTGTTAGATATTTCATATAACTGCTGACTTGACAATGTTTTAAGTGTTCATCAATCATAGCAAACATCTATTCATTAAATCTTTTAATTAGCTGCACAGATTAAACAATTGAATGCTTCTATTGCAGTAGTATCCCTGCCTCTACGCCAGAAGCTCCAGGTTTGAGACCTACTTGCTCCAGAGATGTGTCATAACATAACCAAACAGATTGATTTAAAAGACTTAAATGCATGTTAGTAAATTCACTAAACTGGCTTTCTCAACTTGTGGTATTTAAGCGACACACTCTGGCAATAAATCAGAAATTGCTGGAAAATCTCAGCAAGTCTGACAGCATCCGTGGAGAGAAAGCAGAGTTAACATCTTGGGTCTAGTGACCCTTCGGAACTGATTGTTGCTAGCAAAAGGTTATGCTGAAGAAGGGGTGGGGGAAGAGGGAAGGAGTAAACAATAGGTGGAGATGGAGTCCAGAGAGGGAGAAAAACTGTTGGGCAGTTAAGTGAAATAGGTAGAGGTCAGCCTGAGAGAATCAATAGCTGCTAGTGGGCTCTGTTAGTGGCTAACAATGAGTTGTTTGTGGTAGCAGCCCATGTGATGACATTTGAGCATTGTTGATTCGCAGGGAACCCCAACCCAACCAGAGATAGTAGGAACTGCAGATGCTGGAGAATCCGAGACAACAAGGTGCAGAGCTGGATGAACACAGCAGGCCAAGCAGCATCA